GTTGAATTGGTGAGCTTTAAGTTCACAGAGAGAGCCTATGTCCAAAACAAAAACCGAAAGCAAGAGGAAGATACTTGACTTTAGTCCTTTAATCTCGAACCTCCGTATGTATGTATGTATGTATGTATGTACATGTGTATACATATATCTACATATCTCTATCTATCTATACACACACACACAAGTCACATACACAATACATGCATGCACACACACAAGAAACACCCAATTTTCTTCTGGAAAACAATGCACTGTGCTGTCATTTGCATGGGGTTCACTCTGGTAGCCATTCACTCACTCACGTTTCAGCAAACCTCAGCAAATGACTGTGGTGGCCTGGGTCTAGTTAAAGGTTATGGGATATAGCTTCTTCAGGCTAAGTTTGGAAAATACCAATCCTAGATGCCAGTACTGCCTGAGTCAGACAGGCCTTAGCAGCCAGACTATGGGCCAGAGACTTCTGAAACTCTTGAGAGCATCCCTCAGGTCTGGGAGAAAGTGGGAGCCTCTCTTCTTTTGCTTCAGGGGAAAGGTACTCGGTACTAAGAGACCTTTAGACCTTTCCTGGTCTCTTAGCTGAGGTATCACAGAAACTCTGGGTCATCTGTGGGAGGTTCTATCATGTGGGTTACCCTAAAACATGAGGGGAAATTTTCTTCTCACCTCTTCAATAAAATTAAAATTCACTAAAAATTTAAGTTAGCCTGCTAACTCCAGCTAGGGCTCTTAGGTCTGAAGGTGTTGTTTCCTACAGGCAAAAGAGACAGGGGTGTAAATATCTGGGGAGGAGGGTGACTCAGACCTCCTAGGGTGGGCTCTATGATGTCTCAGAGATGTCCAGCACCTGTCCTTGCCCCCAACCTACAGAAGAAGACAGGTGAACAGGGCAAGCATGATTCCCTTTCCTCTATGCAAATCTCCCTCATTGAACCCCTCCATCCACCAGGCCCCAGGAGAAGGCTTGGAGGGATCCTCCTAATTTTCCTGCATGCTATCCTGGAGCTTCTAGTCCCATGCCCATCTTGATTGCACATCAGGTCATTGAGATTCAATTCCTATTGGAGAGCTGTCATCCCATGGTGCCTCCTCTCTGGTGACTGAGGAGGCATATTGCTCACTTCCCTCAGTCTGAATGAAGGACAGATCTAGGCTCTCCTGGCATATTCACACAGGGATGAGCCCCCATGGCACGTGAGTCCAAATTGCTGAACACACATTAGCGTGTAAGACCATGCATGGTCTTCAGGGAAGGATGTGGGTGGAACCAGAAGGCAGTGTCCCAAAGCCCCACTCCTTAACCTTAGACACGGGACTCAAGGGAATGGATGGAGTCCTAGGAAAGTGATCTACAGCCAGGTGTTTAGGTGGAGCTCATGCCTCCAGGCTTTGTTGACAATAGACTCACACCAGCTTTGCTGTGGGGCATGTGGGCATATTCATGGGAGAAGTTCCTGACCAATCAGACCCCAGCTGGTTCCATTTATGGGTAGAGATACTACAGTTCCATGGGGATAAGCTTAAGATACGCTCCAGACCCCAGCTCCTCAGGACATAGCTGCTGGGCCCCAGCTCAGATTCATTAAACCCAGAAACAAAAACCTTCCCAGCTCAGTGACAACAAAGACACAGAAAAACCATGTTTGCCTTTTGGCTAATCTGCAGCCCTGCTCACCCCCAAAGCTGGATTCTGTGCATGTGCAGGCATGTATTTATGTACGTGCTTGCATGTGTTAATGTGTAGGTTGACGAAGGGCAGGCTAGGAACTTTAGGAGACAGATGGTTAAGGCCCTGGAGGCCAGCAGACAAGTTCCAGTTCCGAGGGTTGTTCCTGAGACACTGAGTCCTGGGCTGGGACGATGCTGGAGAATTGCTGTGGGTAGAGATGGTTTCAGGTCACTGGGGTGGCCCTGGGGCGTCCTAAGGAGAGTGACTCTATCCCTTTGTGACCTCCTTGAATTCTTTGGGTCCCACTGAGGGTAGACCTAAAGCACTCTCTTAGAACACACTGAAGCCTCTGCATTCAGAAGACATGAGAAAGTCTCGCCACCTTGTGGGGACATTCGGTACCCCTCCCTGAACTACTGCTCTGTCATAGGGAGAGGCGGTGTGACCCTGCTAGGGTTTGGGCTGCTGCTGGCTGCTACACAACCTTAACCCCTGGAAAAAGCAAGAAACCTGGGAGGAACTCCTGTGCCTCCAGGACAGAAGGGTACCCGAGATTAGCCCACTCACTTGCAGAAGACAATACAATACCAATCCCCTATGCAGTCCGGCAGTTCTTGAAGAGAGGTTTGCAGGAAAAAACAAAATGAAACAAAATAAAAAAGGGATTCCTTCTTCCCAAGGAAACAGAAGCCCAGGGAGGGGATGGAGACCTGCTTGACACCAGCACGGAAATGTCTGGACTCTGGAATCTTATGTGTTCTCTTACTGGTCTGAGAGAAGCTATCCAGATGAAACCCTGGTCCTCCTGAAGAGGCTGACACAGGAGCAGTGCAGTGTGTGAGAGAGAGCTTGCCACAGGTCAGCCAGGGCAGGGCACCTGGTCCCTTAGAGAGAAGGCTGTGTGTGTGATGTCACAAGGCAGTAGTGGAGGTGGCAGTGTAGCTCAGTTGGAAGTGCTCACCCATGCATGAAGTACTGGCATCCATAACCACCACTGCATCATCCCGGGCACTGTTGTGCATGCCTATAACCCTAGCACGTGGGTGGATGCAGGAGGATCAGAAGCTCAAGGTCATTTTACAGGTTAAGGTCACCTTAAATTCAAGAGGGGTTCTCAAAAATAAAAGAGGCATCAGGGTCTCATCAATAATGGGGCATTTAGTGTCAAACACAAACACCAGGCCAGTTAGCACTCATGACAACCCTTTGGGATGGGTGCCCTGATTTGTGTAGTGGGATGTAGTACACAGTCTTTTCAGAGGCACAGAGCAACTTGCTGTGGGTTACAGCTTGTAAGCAGCAGCCCAGGGTCTGAATTCAGCGATTTCCATTCTAGAGGGTGAGGACTCGACTGGAAAAAGTGATAGAAGTCACCTAACCCCTTCCACCTTGGGGAAGCCTGCAGGACCTGGACAATGGTGAAGAAAGGACAAGCCCCATCTTTCCATGCTACACAGACCCAGTGCGCCCTCTGCTGGGCACAAGGAGGGTCAGCGGGTCCTTTTAACAAGCAGATGCAGAGCAGGGCTGTCATTTTGTTGTTTGTTTATTTTTGATGGCTGGACACTGTATGGTCTTTGTCAAAGGTGTCCCAAGAGGCTGGCTGCAGACCACTCCCATGGTGGAGTTCTCAGTCCATGATGGTGGACTGCACAAGAACCAGATCCCTCAGCACTTCCTTCAAGGATCCTAGGTCTTCTTTCCCAAAGGCCTGTTGTCCCTGTCTGTACCACAGCAGGCCAAGGGCCACAAGGACAGTGTCAGGGCTTGTCACAGGACCTGGGACCTATTCACAGCACTGCCAGGTGAACAAGGTGTAGAAGTGGATCTCAAGCACTCACTGCTCAGCGCCGTCTGCTGTGTGCTGGGCCCTGAGGATTGATACTCATGGACTGGCTCTGGGACCCTCAAGGAAATGCCAGCAAAGGTGGGTCAGTGTGGACAGAAGTGGGAGAAGGGCATGGGTGTCCCAGGACCTCCATCTTGATGACTTTGGACCTGTGCTTCCCACTATGTGGACCTTGATGAAACAAGGCAGACCACTCTCTGCCTTCGCTCTGGAGAATAAGAGCAGTAAAGTTCTCAGGACCCACTGTCTAATGAACCAGGGGGTCACTCCTGGGACCTCGATAAAGGGATAGCAGGCATTCATGAAAGACAACCCATATTGCATCTGCCTCATTAACTATGTATTTGGACCAGAGTCAAGGGAGGACCAGTGACTACCACAGGATGAAGGCAGTACAACAAAGATATGAAGTTCAAGGAGCATCCACACGTGATGTCCTCGGTCCTCTCTCTGCATCAGAACCCACCCTCCTCACCCCACAGACTGACCACAGACAAGAGACTCAACCTCATCTGTCCAGTGATTCTGCTTCCTCTGCTCTTCCCAGATCTTCCTGGGGACAGAGAACTCCAGTACACATCAGCCCTCTCCCAAACCTCTGCAGAAATCTTCCCAAGACTGGCAGTGCCCACCCCTCCGCGCTGATTGGGTCGGAGGGCTTCTATGTGTGTTAGGCAGGGTTGAGGGGGCCCTGTGACAGGCTATGGGCTTAACTGTCATAGAAGTCCACGTGGGCTCCAGATTGGAAGGTGTCCTTTTGCAGCAAGCTCAACAGTTTCTGGGCTGAGGTCCCACAATCCACCAGCTTCCCCTGAGACTTCAACTTCTGCAGGCTGCTCCTTAACTCTGGGTCCACGGAGGTTTCCCGAGCCAACTGCTGCATGTCTGTGTCCAGGGGTCCTGGTGGATGGAAAGCACAGGATGGGAACAGAGGCTATAGGTCCCTGCTGTGTGTGGAAAGTAGAGCTGAGTGAGGTATGTCTGAGGCTCTACTATGTGGCCTGTTAAATTTTATTTGTATGTCCTCTGTGTGTATTCCTGAACTTCAGGATCCTCTTACCTTAGTCCCCCAGTGCTTGGATGGCAGGTGAGGACTGCCACACCACGGTATGACTGAGCTTTGGGCTCAAAGCTAAAGTCTATGAAGCACGGTGTAAAATCCAGCTCACCATGTCTTGTCCAGGTAACACCTCTTCCTGACTTTCCCATTATATTAACACAGAAGTAACCCTGCTGGCTCCCACTCCACCTACAGCCAACTGGGGGCCAGGTGACACCTTCCTCATCTTCAAACCCGGCCTTCATCTTCAAAGGAGGTACACGACACAACCTTGCTTTTCTCCTTATTTCAAGACCCTCCTCTTAGCCCTCTGATAAATTCATCTGGAGGCACTTTTGCTGGGCTTACAAAGCTTCTCAAAACCCCTGGATGGGGCACTCAGTTGCTACAGTGCTTGTTGTGCAAGCATGAGGATCCGAGTTCAAATCCCCAGTAGTAGGGGATTGGAGAGATAGATGGTGGCTCCCTGCTAAGAGCATTTGCTGTTCTTGCAGAGAACTGGGGTTTGAGTCCCAGTACCAACATGGCAACTGACAACCATTTGTGACTGCAGTTAAACAGGATATAGTGCACCCCTTCTGGCCACTGCAGGTACTGCATGCATGTGATAACAGACATTTCAGCCAAAACTCTCCCCCACACAAAGACCTGTCACTTTCTAACAAGCTTTGTCACTTTGACTTGCATTTCTGGAAAATGTCTCCAGCCTGCTAATGCAACTGTGAAGCCTCCCAAAATTTAACGGTGTTATAGGGGCAGAAATTCCTGGAACACAAGGACTGGAAGAGGAACACTCTGCTAACATTTGAATGTCTCTAGCCTGATCCTGCCCTGTTCCTCTTGCTCTGTTTTGTGTTTTGAGACACTCTCTTGTAGCCCATGATGGCCTCTAACTTGCTGTGTAGCCAGAGCTGACTTTGAACTTCTGCTCACACCTCTCAAGTGCTCTGCCAGGCCCAGTTTTATCTCCTTGAAGACCACTGGGCAGAGGCTTGCTATCTTTCCAAACAGACATTACTGTCTTTGGAGAGCCGTTAGAACATTCTTCCAGAGACTGAATAAGAACTAGGCCGGCCCCTGATTGTCTTCAGTGTCTGGGGGAGCTTTTCAGTTCCTCCATGAAAACTGGGGCAGCCTCCAGAGAGCTAACTTATCTCCAAGGCATTCTGGGACTGGCTCCCCTCCTGACTGTGGTTTACATGTGATCACTGCTGTCTCAAGGAGGCTAGGCTGAGCTCAGAGCAGGTGAGCTGGATATTGGAACAAGAAATATCATGGATGTGTGTGTGTAGGGCAGGTGTCAGATAATTTGAGGAGATGCAGTATAGATGGAGAAGTCAAAAGCAAGCTTGGGTCCTCTCACTTCAGCATTAAACAGACCATTTTGCCTCTGTGTCTCCAGGATCCTGTCCTAGTCCAAAGAGGTACAGACAATTGAATTTCACCCCTTAGTTTCTCACAGTGTCTGTCACACATTGCTATCCTTCTAAGTACAGAAATCACAGGCTTAGAAGAAAGGCACGGTGGCATATGAATAGGCTGATGGGACAAGACAAGGTCTCAGAAGACCTCATATGCTTAAATCTCCCTAAGAACAGGGCCTATCTTATTCATGCGAGCACCCTTTCTCCATTCCATTCAGTGTGACAGCACAGCTCAGCCTGAGATGCTCACCACTCAACAATATCTCTTTGCTTGTCTTTGAACATTCAATGTGTCCATTGAATGATTTCCACACAGCTTTACTGGGCACTGGGGATTCATGGAGGAATAGTATGTGTCCCTTGAGGGACAAAATCAGACAGCTAAACATATAAAGATAGTTTGTTTTTTAGTTTCAGTCTTAATTCATTTTTATGTGTATGGATGTCCATCCTACCTGCTAATCAGACAACTCCTGAGGGTGAGTACCTGTGCCCTGACTGCTCCAACTTCTTGGGAGTCTGTATTTTTCTTGTAAAGTGAGGAGTCATTACAGGAGGTAGGGGCACTTAAGTCTTTGATTCTTAACTGATAATATGGATCATGCCTCCCTCCTTGCCCAGCCCCCAGCAAGGTACCAGCTATATCTGGAGACAGCAGTGTGAGGACCACCCACCTACCTGGAGCATAGCTCAGCACTCTCACCCTGGGTTCCTCAACAGCCAGAACCTGGCACAACATTTCTCGGGCAGCCTTCCCTGCACAGTAGAGACCCCAGCCCTTGAAGGGCTTCAGGGCACACAGAGATGAGATGTTAACCACAGTCCTGCTCAGGCCAGGGCTGTCCGGGAACGCATTCAAGGTACTGGAGGTCAAGCAGAGCATGGAGGTCAGGTTCAGAGCCCAGTAGTTGTTCACCTCAGCTAGGTCATTCACCTTCAGGAAGCCTTTGGAAACATCCCCAAGAGTGCCTAAAACAAAAACAAAAAAAAAACAGGACCAAAAAATTGACAAAACTGTGTCGTCGTTCTCCCTCCGTCTTCCACAGTTCCTCCCCATAGCCATTTGCTCCCTCTGCCCCAGCTCTGAAGAGATCCCTAATGCAAGAAGACTACACCTGAATGCCCTTTTTAGTAAAGCAGAGAGATTTGTTCAAAAAAAAAAAAAAAAAAAAACTTCACTCACATACCCGCCAGGGGGCACCGTCACCCCGCAGTGACACTGGTACAGCCTCTCTACTTTTGGACTTTGGACTTTTGGGGACTTGCCCTCCACCTACCCAAAAGGCGATGAGGTGAGAGCTCGCAACCCCCGTCTGGTTAGGAATCTCACCTGCGTTGTTGATGAGCAGCAGGCGCTGCAGCCCCTCGGGCCTAGGGAGCTCGCGCACGGCGCTCAGCAACTGCTGCACGCCGGCCTCCGTGCCCAGATCGGCGGCTGCCAGCTCCACTCGCAGGCCGGGCTGCTGCGCGCCCAGCTCCTCCTTCAGTTGCCGCAGCGCCGAGTCACTGCGTGCGCTTAGGAGCAGCACGGAACCTGGCGACAGCAACCGGGCCAGCTGCGGGGCTAAGGCGCGGCCGAAGCCCCGGGAGGCCCCGGTCAGTACGCACACAGCGCGGCCCAGCCCGCCTCCCTCCATGCCTGGGACTCAGCCTCACGCGCCGCCACTTAACCGGTACGGGGTGGGGCCTATCTTTGGCTTTGGACAGCGGAAGTTCGGGGCAGTATCCACTGGAGTTTGGGTGAAAAAAGTGACCAATAGCCATGGAGGCGTGTCTCGACAGGAAATCCCAGTCCCCTTCCCAGCGCTTCCGGGTTTCCCTTGCACGCCACTCCCACAAGCTCAGTCCCTTTCTGAGAGGCGTGTTCGCAATTTCCACTGTTCCAAGATCAGCTCCCTCCTCCAGGG